AGGCAGGGTGACGTGGCACTGAGGCAACGCTTAAAGGAAGCAGCCAAAGCAAAATGCGGTGGGAGGGGACTTCTTTTATATTGTACACAAGCCACCCCTCTCCAGGGCAGGTGTAACACTAACAAAATATCTGTGCTCTCCTCTTGCACAGGATGAGAATATTTATAAAATAAGGATCCTGGCTTCCTGTTGTGAGGCTCTCAGTAAAACTTCTAAACTCCTCAAGCTGATACAATGTATCAACCATAACAACATGTTATAACTTTGTTCCTCTTTATCTAATCTGTGTGTTTCTGCTTCTCAAACCTCTGCTGTTAAGACCTCTTTACCACAGATAGTTTATTATTTGGAGCAATTTGATTATGATATGTCTCAGTGTCGTTTTCTTAGTATTTGTGCTTAGAGTTCACTGAACTTTATGGATGGGGGTGGGGGGTTGGTTTTCATCAAATTTAGAAAGTTTGGCTATTGTTTCTTCATCCTTTTTTTTCACTCCTCCTTAATTCCTTCCCTTCTAAGGGCCAAGCGCTTGTATCAATAGATTCATTCCATTCTATTGTAGAATAGGAGATATGCCACAATTTGTCTATATACCTGCTACTGAACACTTAGGTTGTTGGCACTTTTTGCAACTCATTCCTCTACTGTAGTCCCAACACGTTCTCCCCCTTCTTTAGGGATTCAATTTATATATATATATATATATATATATATATATATATATATATATAAAGTGACTTTGAGAGTGTTCCACAACTGGTTATTCTTCTTTTTGTTTTTAGAAGGGTTTTTGTTGTTGTTGTTGTTTCATTTTAGATGCTTTCTTTTGTAAGAGTTCTGTTGCTTCTGGAATAAATCACAAATGTAGTGGCATAAGACAATGAAGACTTACTATTTTACAGTTTTACATTATAGTGATCCACTTGAATCTCACTGAAGTAAAATTAAACTGCTAGTAGGCTGCATTCTTTGATGGAGTTTTTATTTAAAAACTCTTATTTCTCTGGGCTGGGGATTTAGTTCAGCAGCAAAAGCGCCTGCCTGTCAAACGTGGTCATGAGTTCAATTCCCCATACCAAAAAATCTATTTCTCAGCCTTTCCCAGTGTCTAGAGATTATCTGAATTCCTGTAGCCTTCCTCATCTGCAAAGTCAGAAAAAGCTATGTTGAATCTTCTGTTCATAATCACCTCTTTGGCCCTCTCTTCTGCCTTCTCTTTCAAGCATTATGTAATTAGATTGAGCTCACCTGGATCATCCAGGATAATTACCCCACCTGAAGGTCAACTAACAGCAAGATATTTGAGTTTCAATCTTAATTCTCTTTTGCCATGTAAAGTACTATATTCACTGATTCTGGGGCTGGGGATTTAGTTCAGCGGCATAAGCATCTGCCTTGCAAGCAGGCAGTTGTGAGTTCGATCCCTGATACCGATAAAAAGGAAAAAAGACAAAAAAAAAAAAAAAAGTACTATATTCACTGATTCTAAGGATTAGGCTGTGGACCTCTTTGGAAAGGTGAAGTCCTGTACCATACTGTGTCTCCAAGTTTGCAAATCATTTTTGTGCAGTATCTAGTTTGTCAAGAAATCCCTCTAGTGTACTTTTCATCTCAATATTTTTATGTCTAGAAGTTCAATTTAGATCTCATTTTTTTAATCTTTCATTATTTTACCGAACACTTGTTGGTAGCACTAATATTTAGTGAGCTTAATGCTAAGTACATGCTTTGTCATTAAACTACAGCTTTAGCCCCACCGTGATATTTGGATTTTCAGCCTTTAAAAGGTAATTTGCTTTAGATGAGGTCAGGAAGGCATTTGTAATGACTATTTTAATGTACTTTTCTGATAATTCTAACATTTTGTCAGTTTTGGATAAATTTCAGTAGATTGAGTGCCTTTTTTGCATACTCAGTATAAGTTTGAATACCAGATATTCTAAATTTTACCCTGTGTGCTAGATAATTTTATATTTCTAAAACATTTTTGAGCTTTGTTGCATCTTTTAGGACATGCTTTTCAGATTTTTAGGGAGAATTAAAGTCAAGTTAATCTGGGAGTAATTCCTCACTGTTGAGAGGAATTCTAATATTCTACCCAGTGCCTATGAATTATAAAGTTTTCTAGTATGGCTGGTGGGAATAGGCTCTGTCATCTCCCTCAATCTGCCTCCCACCTCAGGATGCTAGAGATCAAACTCCTCAGAGCTACACGTGCTAGGCAAGTACTTTGCTACTGAGCCACATCCCCAGTGCCCCTAGATGCTAGGTTATTCTTGAAACACTGTGTTCTTTTTCTAGCAAGTCATTTTCTCACACATAAAAGCAGCTCAGTATTGTCCTGCTTTTTTTTTTTTTTTTTTTTTTTTGTGCTGGGGAATAGAATTCATGACCTTGTGCTTGCCAAAAAAACACTTGTACCACTAAGCTAAATCCCCAGCCCTATACTGAATTTTATAATCTATGGAGTTCTTTATGCCACTCCCATGTCTCCATACTTTGTAACAATCAAGTTATCCTGGTATTTTCTTTTTGGAAAAAATTTAAACTGCTTAGTGATTATATACCATTTGACTTTTCTGTTTATTATGGAATTATTTTTAGTAAGTTTTGCCTAGGAATTTGTCCATTGGTCCGTATTTTAAATTTATTAGAATAAAGCTGATCATAGTATTCTTTTTATGGTTCAGTCCATGGTTTTGTTTTCTTTTGCATTATTTGTATATTTGTGCCTTATAATTATTTCTGTACAAATTTCTCAACCATTTTTAATGCTGCTACCTTTCTCTTTTCTTTCTTTCTGATGGTACAGGGAGTTGAACCTAGAGCCTTCACACTGAACTTTAGCCCTTTTAAAATTTTGAGACAGGCTAACTGATAGAGTTATTTCCAAAAGATGAAAAATATTAACAAAAGATGAGAAATATAAAATAAAAAGCGGCCTTTATTCTGAGAACACGGAGAGAGATGACCGGCACCCCACCGCTGGCGTCCGGCGATCTCTCCGGCGGATACGTGGCGTGGGGGCCTGTAAATAGCCTCGGTTTGGGGTGGAACCTAAGGCGGGCATTAGGGATACACAGGTAGCCCATTGGTCCTAGGTTTGGCGCCATATGTAAATTCCCAGGGGCGGGAAGATGGCGTCACAGGTAACTTCCTAGGGGCAGGGCAAGATGGGGCTTCCTGCTTCCGGTTGTGGCTTTCCTGGCTACAGTGTCCTGTCTGGGCCAAAACCTTTCACTAACCTTGAACTTGTTATCCTGCCATAGCCTCCCAGTTGCTAGGATTATGGACACACATGCCACCCTGCCCAGTTTAGCCACTGCTTCCATAGAAACTCAAAATAGTTTGATTACTTTCCTGTTCTGAAATACTACTGAGAAATTTAAGCCAGAGTCGACTAGGGGAGAAATGCAGTCTTCACAAAATTGATCTGTGTTACATGTTAAGGGTACACATCCTTTACTATTTGCACAAAACTTGTACATAAAAATCACTTAGAGTGCTTGTTATACAGATTATAAGGCATCCCCTCCTGTGTCAGTAGTTTCTGTGTCAGTAGTTCTGTGTCAGTAGTCCTGGCCAGAGTCCTAGAATTTGCCATTTTAATAAGCATCAGATGGCTCTAAAATACGTGACTGAAAAACTATATTTTGAGAAACATATTTTAACTTGTGCTAAAAACCAAAGACATATACTTTTAAGAGCTTTTACTTTCTAGTCCCCAGGCTGCATCTTTTTACTGTCTAGTATCTTCTCATCTACAAAGCCTATCACCTTCATCTCATCCTCAGTTAAGCTCTCTGGATGTCCCCAGGCTGCATCTTTTTACTATCTAGTACCTTCTCATCTACAAAGCCTATCACCTTCATCTCATCCTCAATTAAGCTCTCTGGATGACCCTTTACCCACTCATCTGCAGCTGAGACAGCATTGTATAATAGTTTACAGAATTGTTTTAAAAATATTTCTAGCCAAATCCCTGCATTTAACTGTAGGGCACTAACCAGATTTAATTAAACCTATTATTTCTGGGCCAGTAGAAACTGGACCAAGTTACTTGTATTATTGCCTCAAATTCTACAAGTGGAGTAGAATGTAAGAGCAGATTGTAGAAGAGCATCTTTCATAGTGGAGCCAAGGTCTCTCATGGATTTATCTTAGCAAAAGACTCACCCTCAGGTAGGTGAACTTCTAGATTAGATCAGTGAGCTAACCAGATGTGAAGAAGTGATCTTAAGGCAGTTAGACCTTCACCAAACACTTCAGGTCTCCATAGGTTAGTCTGGCCATCTATATACTTTCTCACCTTCTTATTTTATTGCTTTTGGGCAAGAGGGCAAATTTCCCTTTCTGTCAAGTCAAAAGGGAAATAGCTATAGCACTAGCAACTTTTTTCTAGAGCAACACCAAAATGTCTACAGTCTTACAAAAGTACTAGTAAATGTCCTATTCCCATTCTCCAAAAATTGTGGATTTTCCCACATACAGGTGAATTTTCTGATGCTTATCAACTGTTCCTCTATATGAATGTGAAGGATGTTTGTTTATATATTAAAGGATCTTGAAAACATGATTGAGATTTTCTCCAAGGGAAAGTAATTGTTAGAGTATAACCATGGGTTTGACTGATAATGTTTATTATCTAAAGGGAGGAGTTAACGGCACAGGTAACTGACCTCCTTTTTGTAGTCTGACTTTAGAACAGAATAGTAGTGCTAGCTCTCTATGAGTCCTCAAGGATTGTTAGAAGAGATCTAGTAGAAGATACAGATAAGGAAATTAAAGTCCAGAAAAGTTAAATTTTTTTTCAAAGGTCATATAGCTGTTTGGTGGCTATTCTATGAAAACAAAAATATTAAATTCTGCAGTTTACATGTGACTAAATTATGGGCCTGATAGATTAGAAGGTGACAAATTAGTTATCAATAGGTAAAGATTAACTGAAATCTTTACTACAATCATATCTAACTTACAAACTTTTTATTTTTGTATTTCAGGACTAAAGAGTGAAAATTGTGCTGAGAACCTAGGTAAGATATACTTTAAAGTATTATCTCTGCAGTGGAAATTTTTCAGTGTTATTTCTTATAATTATGGGTCAGAGCCACTTCACTCAAATCTTTATTAGTAAACATTTAAAAGTAGACTAAAGATCCAGGCTTAGTTGTGCATGCCTTTAGTCCCAGAATTCAGGAGACAGGCAGGATAATATCTGAATGAACAGCCAATCTAGACTACATAGTGAGTTCAGGCCTAACTTAGACTACATAGTATACTGGCAGCCATTGTTTTCTCAGTGGTCTGTAGTTCACTGTGTAGTCTAGAACGGCCTTGAACTGGAAGCAGTCCTCTTGCTTCAGCCTCTGAAATGGTGGGATCACAGGTATGTACCACCACACTCAGCTTGACTGATGCATGTTCTCAGTGGGTCTTTTTGAAGATTTATTTACTAAAAGATTTGAAATCATATGTCTGTTTCTACTATCTTTGTATGGCTAGCTTTTCTGTGACTGCTTTATGTAATTAATATGCAGCCATCCAGGTGTGGTAGCACAAACCTGTAATCCCAGCACTCTGAAAGATTGAAACAGGAGTATCACAAGTTAGAGGCAGCCTGAGCAAATTACCAATTTACCGAGACCCTGTCTTGAAATAAAAAAAAAAAAAAAAGCTGATTAGCTGCCGCGCCTGGCCATAGGTCTGCAGAGGAGGAGCTGGGCAGATCTGGGGTGCCCTCACCGGCCTCTCTGCGTGTCTGGAGGACTCTGGATATCTGCGCCCAGACTGCTGGAGTTCCCCCAGGCTTCCAGGTGCAGTGAAGGAGAGAGGTGGGTTTGAGGCTTCCACATCAGCCTCCCCATTCCGGCTTCACTTGGAGACCTGCTGAGCTCCCGATAGGTGGGCTGGCCCACACTACCAGCCTAGCCCAGCCTGTTTAGCTGCCGCGCCTGGCCATAGGTCTGTAGAGGAGGAGCTGGGCAGATCTGGGGTGCCCTCACCGGCCTCTCTGCGTGTCTGGAGGACTCTGGATATCTGCGCCCAGACTGCTGGAGTTCCCCCAGGCTTCCAGGTGCAGTGAAGGAGAGAGGTGGGTTTGAGGCTTCCACATCAGCCTCCCCATTCCGGTTACACTTGGAGAATTGCTGAGCTACCGACGGGTGGGCGGGCCCACGCTATCAGCCTAGCCCAGCCTGTTTAGCTGCCGCGCCTGGCCATTGGACTGCAGAGGAGGAGCTGGGCAGATTTGGGGTGCCTGCATTGGCCTCTCCATGTGTCTGGAGGACTGTGGATATCTCTGCAACCAGGGAGGGTCCACAGGTTCCTGAAGCGCTGCGGCCTGTGGTGAGTACCCTAACCCGGCTGCGATTGAAGAACTGTGGAGCTTCCAAGGGGCAGGTGGGCGCACAGTGTCCCTGAGGCCCAGCTTGTCTGGAACTGCGGAGTTCTGAGCAGGCAGAGGAGGGCCACTGGTTCTGTAGGCCCAATGGCTTGGGGTAGCGCGGCGCCAGAGTCTCAGTAGCTCCAAACATAGAAGGGGATTTTCAACAGATCCTGAGGAAGCTTTCAAATAACACTTGAAACACAGAAATATAGAAAAATGACAAAACGAAAGACCAAATTACAACCTCAAACCTCCATCCCATCTCAAGAAACCCTAGGAGCGATGTATATAGAAGAAAATATATCCCATCCACCTCATATATCGGACACAATAGCCACTGAAATTGACAAGCAACTCCAGGAAGCTTTAAAGAAATTCAAACTTGAAATAATCTCCCAGATAAAAGAAGAAATGATAAAAGAAATGAAAGAGATTCTAAATATATCTAAAGAAAACACAGATAAAAAATTGGAGGAACTAAACAAAAAGATAGAATCCCTAGACGAGCAATATAAGAAACAAACAGAATACATAATGCAGATGCACAGAGATATACAGGAAATAAAAAACTCCACTGAAAGTTGTAAAAACCGCCTTAATGAAAGTGAAGATAGAATTTCAGACCTTGAAGACAGGATTGCAGCTAGTGAACAGGAAAGGAAAGATCTTTTGAAAATAACAAGGAATCAGGAAACAACAATTCAACAACTGCAAGACGATGCAAAGAAGAATAACATAAGAATGATAGGGATTAATGAAAGAGAGGGAGACAACATGAAGGATGTCAGGAGGATATTTAGAGAAGTAATAGCTGAAAATTTCCCAAGCATGAGATCAGAAACTGACATCAGGATCAGTGAAGCATATAGAACTCCAAACAGTCATAACCAAAATAAAACTACACCCAGACATATAATAATCACCATCCCAGAAATCCAACACAAGAATAGATTATTAAAAGCTGTCAGAGAGAAAAGACAGATCACTTATAAAGGAAAACCTATCAGAATCACAGCAGACTTCTCAGCACAAACGATAAAGTCAAGAAGAGCATGGAGTGAAGTATTCCAGATCCTAAAGCAAAATGATTTCCAACCAAGACTGATATATCCTGCAAAACTATCATTCAAAATAGATGGTGCAATACGATACTTCCATGACAAAGAACAGCTGAAGAACTTCATGAACACCAAACCAACCCTGCAAAAAATATTGAAAGACAGTTTAGATACACAAAGGAAAAAAGCACTAAGCAAAGCAAATAATTAAACAGAACAGAAAGATAAAGATGCAACAGCAGAGAGATAACATTCCTACAATTAACCAGCATTTAACAGTAATAACCATTAATGTAAATGGTCTCAATGCACCAATCAAAAGAAACAGACTAGCAGAATGGATCAAGAAACAAAATCCAACCATATGCTGTTTACAGGAAACCCATCTAACCCAGAAAGATACTCACAGACTGAAAGTCAAAGGATGGAAAACAATTCTTCATGCAGCAGGAATCCAAAAAAAGGCAGGAGTAGCCATTCTGTTTGCAGACAACGTGAACTTTAAACCAACAATGACCATAAAGGACAAAGAAGGTCACTACATACTCGTAAGGGGAAAACTCCAAGAGGAAGAGATAACTATCTTAAATATATACGCACCAAACTCCAGAGCACCCAGTTATATAAAACAATTATTAACAGAAATGAAAACTCAAATTATCAGTAACACAATTGTAACGGGAGACCTTAATACACCACTGACACCAAGGGACAGATCAACCAGACAGAAAATGAGCAAAGAAATAACAGAACTGAATCACACCTGTGAACAAATGGGTTTGATAGACATATACAGAATGTTCCACCCAACAACATCAGAATACACATTCTTCTCAGCAGTACATGGATCATTTTCTAAAATAGACCATATATTAGCTCACAGAACATATTTAAGCAAATGCAAAAGAGTTGAAATCATCCCTTGCATATTATCGGATCATAGCACTCTGAAATTAGAAATTAATGACAAAGGATACTGCAAAAATTCCGCAAACACATGGAAACTAAATAACACACTCTTGAGTAATCAGTGGGTCACAGAAGAAATTAAAGAAGAAATTAAACAATACCTAAAAGAAAATGAAAATGCAGATACAACTTACCGGAATCTGTGGGATGCAATGAAAGCCATTCTGAGAGGAAAATTTATTGCACTGAGTTCCCACATCAGGAAAACAGAACGAATACAAATAAATAACTTGATGCTACACCTCAAACAGCTAGAAAAAGAAGACCAAGTCAAGCCCAAAGCCAAAAGAAGAGAGGAAATTATAAAAATCAGAGCAGAAATCAATGCAATAGAGACTAAGAAAACAATCCAAAGAATCAATGAATCAAAGAGTTGGTTCTTTGAAAGAATAAATAAAATTGATAAGCCCCTAGCCAACCTTATTAAAAAAAGGAAAGAAAAAGCTCAAATTCATGCAATAAGAAATGAAAAAGGAGAAATCACTACAGACCTAATAGAAAAACAGAGGATCATCAACACCTATTTCGAAAACCTCTACTCTCAAAAGTTTGATAACACAGAAGAAATAGACAGATTCTTAGAAGCATATGAAGTACCAAAGCTAGATCAAGAGGATATAAAACTGTTGAATAACCCAATCTCTGCTAATGAAATTGAAAATGTAATTGGGTCCTTGCCCACCAAGAAGAGCCCAGGCCCAGATGGATTCACTGCAGAATTCTACAGGAAATATAAAGAAGACCTAATGCCGACACTCCTCAAACTATTCAATGAAATTGAAAGGGAAGCAATCCTTCCTAAGTCATTCCTGGAAGCAAATATTACTCTAGTACCAAAACCTGAGAAAGACCCAACTATAAAAGAGAACTATAGACCGATCTCCCTAATGAACACAGATGCAAAAATCCTCAATAAAATATTGGCAAATAGGATCCAGCAAATCATCAAGAAGATTATACACCATGACCAAGTGGGATTCATCCCAGGAATGCAAGGATGGTTCAACATACGCAAATCAATAAATGTAATCCACCATATCAATAAAGCCAAAAATAAGAATCACATGATCATTTCTATAGATGCAGAAAAAGCCTTCGATAAGGTCCAACACTTATTCATGATAAGAACTTTACAGAAAATTGGAATAAATGGTCTTTACCTCAATATAATAAAGGCCATTTATGACAAACCAACAGCCAGCATCATACTAAGTGGCCAAAAATTGAAAGCCTTTACTTTAAAATCGGGTACAAGACAAGGATGTCCTTTATCGCCACTCCTATTTAATATAGTACTGGAAGTACTAGCCAGAGCAATTAGGCAAGAAAGAGAAATAAAAGGGGTAAAGATAGGAAAAGAAGAAGTTAAGTTATCACTGTTTGCAGATGACATGATACTCTACATAGAAGACCCCCTAAACTCCATTGAAAGACTCTTAGATACAATAAATAAATTCAGTAATGTGGCTGGATACAAAATCAATACTCAGAAATCAATAGCATTCCTATACACGAACAACAAAATTACAGAGAGGGAAATAAGAGAAACTGGACTATTCACATTAGCAAGCAAAAAAAAATGAAATATTTAGGAATTACTCTTACGAAAGAAGTGAAAGAC